AGTGAAGCTGCAGCCTACATGGGGGAGGGGGCTGGCCAGCAGAAGGACAGGCAAGGAGGAAGGCATCCAGGCCCCAGGAAGCCCCCAGGAGAGGCTATTGGTCAACGGGCAGGGACAGGTGATCAGAACAGTAGGCAGGGGGTGGGGAGTGTTTTCCCGGGGGGGGGGGGACACAGAAAGGGAGCAGGTTTGACTAGGGGATGCAGGGCCAGTATTCCATTTGGAACACATTTAGTTCAAGGTGCTGGAGGCAGCAAAATAGAGGTGCCATGTACCAGGTAGACATACTACTTTTCAGCTAAAAATGAATCCAGGTCCATGAGAAGGTAGGAATTATAGAAACCTGTCTTATCAGACAGCCCAGTGGGTGGTCTGCATCTTGAGGGGGCGCTATGCATGGTACTTTCTATGGCTAGACCATCTTTCTCTCTGTGACCTTCACAGTCATCTAGCCTTTTGGTGCTCCCTCTCCTCGGCATAAAATGGTGATAGTTATGTTTGCTTCAGTGTAGCCAGGAGCACATGTTTGAAGATCCATTAAACTGAAAATAAAACATGTGGGGCTCTTTGAGAATAAGAACTATGTTAAAACAAGGAGTTATTATGGTTGTGCATAAGCCAATGAAAAGCTGAAATACAGCCCCAAGGCTCAGTATCGATCTTGGTCCCCGGTGCTTCCTGCAGCCAAATAAATCTGATGTTCCTCTCCACAAGTGCTCGCTGAGCAGATGGCAGGTCTCCAGCCTCCAGCTTTCCCACCCCACCCCAAGGTTACGTCCTTTCTTGGCTCAGGCCAGCTCCAGCACCCCACCCCTGCCTGGCTGCGCTGGCTGCCCTTCTCATTTGTGCTGGTTACAGGGAAGATTCCGGTTGTGAGGCTGGAGCTTGGCCAAAAGTGGATGCCCTCTGATTAAACCAGGGACAGGACCTCCCAGAGAAGCAGAGAATAGCTCTGCAGAACAAGACGTTTGAGGAGCAATGCTGCCAAAGGGAATGCTCCAAGCAGTTAGGGGCTTCAGACTTTAGGATGCATGAAGGGTCCTGAAATGTGTTTCACTTGTTCGTTCATTCATTCATTCATTCATTCATTCATCCATTCATGCACTTGCTGGATAGTTATTAAATGTCTACTGACAGTTAGGTTCTGAGAAAAGTCTGTGAAGGAGTGAAAAAGACAGCAGGTTTGTTCTCTTTGAATTAAGACTTGAATTGAGGAATAGAGAAATAAGCAAAAGAAGGAAACGCTCTTAAGGGAACAGGCAGGAGCAGTAGCAGAAAGGAAGTGGCAGTGGTGGGCGGGCATGGCGGTGTTAGATGAAGCAGTCAGGGAAGGTTTCCCTGAGATGGTGACATCTGAGTTGAGGTCTGGCAGCTGAGAATGAGCTGGCTTGTGATGAGGTGGGGCAAGGGCATTCCGGGGGGGAGGACCTAGCTGGGGAGAGGACCCAAGGTGAGGACACACTGGATGTGTTGGCAGAAACACACCCAGTGTCATGGTGGGCTGTTAGGAGGTTTTATGTAAGGTGGGCATTCTATTTTGAAAGCATTTCTCTGACCCTTGAGTGATAATGGGGAAAGGCAAAGATCAAGAAAACCAGCAAGCAGGCTACTGCAGTCCTCTGCATGAGAAGCGGTGGTTGAGTGGAGTGGGTGGTGGTTGTTGAGACTGCATGAAGTGGTTACATTCATGGGCATTTGGAAGTGGAATGGACCAGTTCGCTGTAGGATGGGAAGGAGGTAAGGAAATAGAGGAATAGCAGTCCACCGCAGGCTTCTGCCTGAGGCAGCCATGTAACGCGAGATAGGTTCACTACAGAGCACGGGTGCAGAGGGAAATCCTGATAATGCCTGACATGTCTGCGAGCATCCTGAGAGGTCATGAGGAGCAGGAGGAACTGGTGGGCTGGGATTACACCTGGACACTCTCAGTGCAGGACTCACTGTGAGCTCCCAGGGAAAGGCAGATTGTAAGGGGGGCTGGGCCTGCACTCCAAGAAGTGCTGATATACACACGAGAATGATTAGTGGAGACAGGAAAGCAAGGAGGGATGGTGCTCCCAGAGCCCACAGAAAGTGTTTAGCGACCACTAGGGGAGGCTGTGGATGTGACGAGTCACCACAGTGAGTGAGGCAGAGGACAGTGGGTGGGGGCGCGTCAGAGATGAGGAGGTAAAAATATCTGGGGACAGCTCTTTGGAGAAGGTTTGGTGTCACACTGGGCAGAGAACTGGGGAAGGGCTGCTTACTTGGGGTTTTACAAACATAAGGAACATTCTGTCCCTCACTTGTAAGCCTCTCTCCCACTCTGATATACCTAGGACTTGATGTTGAATAGCTACAATAGTCCCGTGATAAACTTTGGCTTATGTACAGTCCCAAACCTGACAGCTGTGATTTTCATTCCTTTCCCTTCCAAGAAAGCTTCCTCCAGGCATGCAGAACAGTTGGAGTAAAACTGGGACACCCAGGGCTCTGCTGATGTCTTTGAGAAAAGTCACAATCCACGTACTGCATACTACACACAAGCAAATGACTGCAGCACAGCTCACAACTGACCACATCACTCGTTACTGTGAGCTGGGAAGCGTGGTTCAGACTTGGCTGAGTGCCATTCATCCATTCATCCTCGCACTCATTCACTATGAGTGTTGGGTGAGCACTTGTATGTCAAGAGCTTGTGCACCGACACTGGTTGCTGCTGTGAACAGGACAGATAGCCTCTGCCATTAGAGTTCCAGCCCCAGGGAGGACAGACATGGAACAGGCAACCTCCAATGCAGGAGCATGGAGTTCTTAAGGACACAGTCACAGGTCCTGGCCTGGTCCATGGGCTCAGCCAGGGTCTCTCTGAACAGGGGCAGATAAATAAGCAGAGGAGTGTGTTAATGGGGCTCAGGTCGGGCTGGACATTGGCCCTGGCTAAAGTGAGGGGGCCCACGTTGGAGGCAGCTCATGTCCACTGGGGTCTATACCTAGAGGCCAGGAGGAGCAAATGTGGTGACAGGTAGGCAGAGGTGGGCAGGGGCCAGACGTGCAGGGCCCGGGCCTGCAGCCAGGAGTCAGGTGTTACTCGGAAAAGCATGGAGAAGGGTTCTGAGCCTGTGTGGGGCGTGGCGGTGGTCAGATTTGTTCCAGACAAGCACTTGGTGCCTGTGGCGTGGGCTGTGGTCGTACAGGAAGGGGCAGTAAGTACCTGCTGGTTTCAGGCAGGGAAGGCATGACTTCTCTTCCAGCCCTATTTGATCAAACACGGCTGAGCACAGTGCAGGCGTTGGGGTTAGGGTCCAGGCCAGCCTCCTGCTTTGGTCTCCTGTCCCCGAAGCCTGCTCAGCTCTCCTCTTTCCTTTCCCTCCCATCTAAGAAAATGCAACAGGCTGGTTTGGGGCCATTTCCCACGGGGTGGGGACAGAAGCAGAGACCAAAGCATACTCACAGAGTCGTGAGCACAAGGACGTAGGGATGAGAGAAACGAAAGCTTGAGGGGCCACGCAGGCTGACAGCAGTGGCCATGGTATGGGGCAGACAGGAGATGCAGGTAGGGTATGAGCCCGGGCGGCAGGACAGAAATCCACCCAAAAATGTGCGGCGCCTGAAAGGCAGCTGGGGCCTCTCGAGTCAGGCGCATAATGCACTCCTGTAATCCCAGCTATTCAGGGAAGCCGAGGCAGGGGAGTTGCAATTTTGAGGCCAGTCCGGGCAGTTTAGCAAAACCTTGTTTCAAAATAAAAAGTAAAAAGAGCCAGGGTGTAGGATTGTGACACATCACCCGCCGAGGGCACAAGGGGCCCTGGGCTGTTCCATCCCCAGTACAACAGCAGTAAAGATTCTTGGAACTCAGCTGACTCGCTAGCGCTGGGGGCCCGCGTGAAGCTTAGCCGTGATGGAAAGTCCTGAAGCTCATGGAAACCCAGGCAAGCAGCAAGTCCCCATTTCCCTGTCCAGTTTGGCAGCAAAACATCTCCGAAGAACAGTCTTCCCTGGGAGTCTCCATTTGTAAGCAGCTCTCTTCACCAAACCGGGCAGCCCGGGAACATACCTCCAGCGAACGCCTCAACGGCTGGCGCGCTCCTGGCTGCATAGCGTCGGATCCTGCAGCTGTCTTGCAGCAGGCGGCTCAGAAACCCCATCAGTCCCGCCGGAGGGTAGGTGACTACCTTCCGGGCCCAGACTTCAGGCTGTCCGGCGGGCGGC